TCACAAGAGTATATTTGGAGCGGCTGCTCTGCCGCGAGCCTCCGGCACTGAGGATAAAGAAGTTATTAAAAAAAAAAAATAGGGGCAAAAGGCAGAGAAAAAAAAGATCCAGGGGGAACAGAATCAGATTTGTGAGATCCTTGGTATGGTACTGAGTTTGGCTGTTTGCTTGCAGACGTCTCATTACCCTACTAGGTAATATAATCAATGAATTCATTTGCCAGCTTGCTTTCTTTATATCTGTGGTACGCTCCAAGGGTGGGGGGAATCTACTGAATAACCACAGACCCCTTATTAATGCTTGCTGGCAGGGCAACATTTGGGATGCAGAATTCACAAGACTGCTTCCATTGCAAAAATGCCCACCTGTGAGCAAGCACCTGTGGTAGGTGGCAAGGGGGCACATAAGGCCCTTCATTTCCTAAACAACTGGGCAAGTAAGCCTTTCTGAAGTTGATCTGGCTTTGGCTTGGCAGGTTTAGTTGGGCTTCATTTGACAAACCATGGTTCATGTGTGAATGGGTGATTCTGCAAACTGAAGTCCAACAGATCTGCCAAATCAATTCTCCTCTTGAAATTTGGGAGTCGAAAGGATGTCTAGCAACAGCAGCTGAAATCTTTGTTCCCTTCCCCAATGAAATCCAGTCAAGAGCAAAAGCACCAGTATTATGGTCAGTTTTATTTATTTTTTTTAAGAACAAAATAAAAGGGGGAAAAAAAAAACTAGTTAGGGTCCATGGGATCAAAGTCTTTTGTCATCTTAAAGAGAAAAATTCCCCACTGCTGCTTGTGGCAGCCATTCCAGCATGTGATTCAATGTAGGTATTGCCCTTTTCACTACTGAATATACAATACAGCAATCCATAACATTTCAATTCCCAGTTGGGTTGTTTTAAAAGGGTTTTTTCCCCCTAGCCCTCAAGATAATTGACAGATTTTTGAAAGTGCATGGGCAGCATCCCAAAAGCCATAACTAGCTTTCCAACAAGCAAGACTTAAGATTCTATACTTGAGACATTTCTTATCCTACAGCCCTGTTTCATCGAATTTCCCCATCTCTACAGATTGCAAAATCCAGCTTTTCAAAGATTGGCATGTTGATTAATTTTAAGCATGAAGTATTCACCGTTTCTGTAAGGATGCTTCCAAAACTTTCTGCCAAGAGTCACAAATTGTAGGGATTGCTTAGGCTTAGCGAGTTGTCAGAACTGTCAGCTATGGTTTGGTCATCTCCTGCTTAGCACAATATGCAAATAGAACCTTATTTATGGCAATTTCATGAATGGAAAAGTAGCCAAATAATTATTATGCAACACTGGAAGGATAAATCTATACCAAATCTACCACTGAGGATGTTTAATTTCCCTGCTCTGAAAAAGAGACGTCAGCTGATTTTAGAAAACAAAGCCAGCTTAGTACTTGGATGGGACCACTAGAAAAATTCCAGAACTGTAGGATTTTTTTTGGGGGGGTGGGGGGTGGGGAGGGAAAAGAAACATCCCGAAAGAAGGCAACAAGAAGCAAGTTTCACACTGTTGCCAAGAAAAAAAGGGCATAGGTATGATCATGAAAGCACCAGGGATCAAAATCAATTTGCAAGGCCTTAATTCTTTAGCAACATCTGAATTAGTTCTTAATAAAGAAAGAAGAACGTCTTTAAACAATCTGATCAAATTTGCTTGAGTTTTCTAGACCAGTGGTTCTCAACCTGTGGGTCGGGACCCCATTTGGGGTCGATCGACCATTTCACGGGGGTCGCCAAGCAAAGCTGTCCGCCATTTTTTCCCCCTTTTCCGGCGAGTGCCTTACCTCCCTTGGGCTGGGCCAGCTGGTGGTCGGCCTGCTCCGTCTCTGCCGCTTTCCAGCTACGCCTCGGCCGGCGCAGGGGGCGGAACCACGCATGCGCAGCGCTCCCAGGCAGGGAAAGTCCTCGACTTATGACCGGTTGGGTAGTCCTCGACTTATGACCGGTTTAGTCCTCGACTTACGACCGGTTGGGGTCGCAGCATTAAAAAGGTTGAGAACCACTGTTCTAGACAGTTAAAAACTTCATTTTCTATCATGGTATATATGGTCACTATCCTATTAAATAGCATTTTGTAATGTGAATAGCACTGAGCCCAATATCTGCCTGTTTTCTTCCATATTATTACTGATTCTTAATAAAAGAAGAAAAATACTGTGCTTGTCGTTTTGTAAGACAATGCTCTACATTCTCCAGAACATCTGTTCCCACCATGCTCATAATAAACCAATGCCCTGTCTAGAAAAGCCAAATTATATGACAACAGCAAGTTACCAAAGAACTTCTTTGTTTTGCCTCTGTTGGTCAGCAAAAAAGGCCAACAAAGCCTTCAAAGGCCAGGTCTCCATCTTGACTACCATACTCTAAGCTTATATTCACAGCCACGTGGTCGAAGAACTTCATGTTGGCTGTTGCTCTTACCAAGATGTCTCAGGAGGATGAAGTGTGTATTTCTGCGATACAACGATGAAGGAGGAGCGGAGAAGAACTGGGCCTGCTACTTCCTCCAGCAGATCCCTCGCTCCTCTGCCATTTCCTGTAGAATTATTGCCTTTTTTAAATACCTGGATAAAATTGCATTAAGCGGCTGTTCCCATCAAACGTCACAGTAGAGACTTTCTTTGCCCAAATGACGTCAATCTCAGCAAGTAAGTGTCACTGGTGAGGTGTAGGTGGCTGTCAACTTTCCTTCCAGTTTTCAGGTTCTCAAAGGTTTCAGAAGTCCTAAAGCCTCATCTGTGCGGTCTTTGTTGAGCTGTTCTTGTGGCTGGTGACAAGATCAGAGAGAAGGTCCAAGGCCACAGAAGGCTGGCAGTATGTACCAACTGTATCTTAACATCGATGGAGATTAATCTCCTCTATGCCATACTGCTTAAGGTTTTTTTCCCCTCAGTTTCTTTGGCTGAGATAGTGCCAGGTCTCATCCATCTCACTAGGGAAAAAGGAGGTATCTCAAGTGACATTCCCCTCTTCTAACAACCCATAGCCACAATCCTACCATACCTACTTGGAAAGCAGCCCTGCCCACTGCCATAAAACATCTGAACAAACTCTGGATAGAGTTAGGCTGTAAAAGAGGTAGCCTTTTTTATATATATATAAAGGGCCACAAGGATCCTGTGAGGGATTTCAATCACAACAGAGCTGGGAGGGAACTTGGAGGTCTTCTAGTCTAGCCCCCTGCTCAAGCAGGAGCCCCTATACCATTTCAGACAAGTGACTGTCCAATCTCTACTTAAAAACCTCCCAGTGATGAAGCACCCATATCTGAAGGCAAGCTGTTCCACTGGTTAATTGTCCTCACTGTTAAGAAGTTTCTCCTTGACTGCAGGTTGTTTCTCTCCTTGATTAGTTACCATCCGTTGTTTCTTGTCTTGCCTTCTGGTGCTCTGGAAAATAAACTGACCCCTTCCTCTTTGTGGCAGCCTCTCTCAAATACTGCAATACTGCTATCATGTCCCCCCTTGTCCTTCTTTTCTCTAGACTAGCCAAACCCAAATCCTGCAACTGTTCTACACATGTTTTAGTCTCCAGGCCTTTAATCATCTTTAATCAACTTTTCCCAAAGTTGCAACATCTTTTTTGTAATGTGGTGACCAACACTGGATGCAGCATTCCAGGTGTGGTCTTACTAAGGCTTTATAAAGCAGTACTAATATTTCACGTGATTTTGATGCTATGTCTCTGTTTATACAGCCAAGGATTGCATCAGCTTTTTTTGGCTGCTGCCGCACACTGCTGGCTCATGTTTAAGTGATCGTCCACTAGGACTCCAAGGTTTCTCTCACAGTTACTGTTTTTGAGCCAGATTCCGCCTAATCTGTACTTGTACCTTTGGTTTTTCCTGCCCAGGTGTAAAACCATGTTCTTCTCCACATTAAATTTCTTGTTGTTGGACAGGCCCCATTGTTCAAGTCTGTCAAGAGCTTTTTGGATCCTGAGCTTGATTTCCGGGGTGTTGGATGAGGACAGATCCCAGGAATCCCATCTCCTATCACCTTCTGTTCGAACTAATTAGATCCCTTTCATTTCCCAGACTATCCAGGAGCTTCACTTCATGTACGGTCTACTCTGCTAATCCACTAGGCCCTTCCCACACCCGTCCAAAGAATCCAGGGCTTCCACCCTCTACCACACTAGCACTAATCCTATCCCACAAAACTCGGGGATCCTGGCTCGTTACCCCTACATCTAATCCCTACAGCCCACGTCCCTCCCTCAGAGCTCAGGAGTCCCCCCATTCCACTTCCCAGCGCTACCCGACTTCCTCCTTCAACGTATGAGGACGTTGATTTCGGTCACGCTGGCCTCCATGACGTTCTCCGCCGTGGTCTTGCCGTGCTGTTCCTTGAGGTGGCGGCGAATGGCGGGCTTGTGGGCAAAGCGCACGTCGCAGTAAGAGCAGCGGTAGGGCCTCTCGCCACTGTGGAGGTTCATGTGATCATGCAGCGTGGACTTCTGGGTGAAGCACTTCCCGCAGATGGTGCAGGAATGGGATTTCACCCCACGGTGAACATTCATATGCCGGTTGAGGTTGCTGCTGTGGTTGAACTGCTTGCCACACCGAGGGCACATGAAAATGAAGTGATGGGCCCGCATGTGGAAGACCAGCTTCTCCACCCCCTGGAAGACCTCCTCGCACTTGGTGCAACAGATGATTCTTGAGATCCCGCTACCTCCCCCAAGGGTTCCTGAACTGCCACCTCTCCCGACCACGGGAAAGGTGGAGAAGGGACGGCCACTCAGTCCTGCGAGTACCAGCCCCATCCCACCGCTGCTGCTCTGGCACTCGGCGGCAACGGCTGCCGCCTCGCTGGTCTCCTCCAAGTAGCCTCCCCCAGGGATGATCAGGAGGCCTTTGCCTACATCATCCTCAGAGAGGCTATAGGAGGCCTTTACCACACCGTGCTGAGGTTTCTCTGGTGTAGATTCTGGCGAAGACTCAATGGCTTCTGCCACTGTAGAGTTGACTTGAGGTTCTTCCTGGTCTCCGGATTCAGCTTTGTTCCACCCGGGTGGAGGAGATAATTCTTTGTCCCAAGCTTGCTGTGGTGAACTTTCCTTGTTCCAACTTTGCTGGGGTGATGTGTCTTTGCTCCAGCTGGTGCCCATCTGCTGCTGTTGCTTCTTCTGCCGCTGGGCTACTTCCATGGCCGATTCAATCTTCACAATGCAGATATCAGAGACAGAATCTTCATACCCAAAATCCTCCTCCTGTTCCTCCTCCTCTTCTTCTGCTTTCATCTCCAACTCTTCTTCCAGTGGGAATTCCAGCTTAACGGGCCGCTGAATGGACCTATCAACCACAAGAATACATTTAGAACATTAGAGAGAAAGTATGAGGCATGGGTAATGCCACTGTCTTACAAGGAATCAGACGATTGGTTCATTGTTGCAAGCCAATACTCTCAAGTCTAATTAGCTCTATCCATCTTTAGAGACAGGCAGTTCTTCTCAGTACAGCCAAGTGGAGAACTGAATGTGCCACCTTCCACTAAACCACAGACCTTCTTAGCTAGTTGGAGGTTACTCCTTGACAATACATCCCAAAAGGAAGATCTGAATCAACATTCATATATTATGGGTTTGCTTTTCATGAAAGCTGATGAAAGAGGCAGTTCATCAGAAAAGCAAGATGTAGCATCAACCAGGACCAGAAGATGGCAAGGAACCTGAGATAATAGGTCCTTTCAAAGCAATATACAACTTTTCACTATTATTTGGCCCTGTGGACTATTTGCTCCTATATAAATATAAACTGAGGGAAAGACAACTAGGTTTGAGCTAAAAGTCACTTGGCTACTGAATGGTGTGCTGAGGTCCAAGTCAGAAAGTAGACTGGACCCTATAAACTATTCTCCCTCAAAACCATTAACTCTCTTCATCAAATTCTACTTAAAAGAAATGCTCCCCAAATGTTGTTTTTCCCCCCACACATTTGCTTGCTTACTTATTTATGCAATCTAGCCACTGCCTTCAATCTGCCAGTCTCTAGTTGACAGTTGAGCTTAAATGTAGAAACCAGTAACTAGGTATTGCTAAACTCTATAGATGGTTCCTAAGTACACACATAGCTTGTGTATGTGTCTGAGCACACAAGTGCATTGGGGTGTTGCTATCTAAGTGATGCATGTACTCTTAAGAAACACCAGTCCCTGACTTGAATTCTTCTGCATGCTCTTTACCTTCAGAGTTTAAGCAAATACATTTTTTTTCTCTCAATTTCCTTTCTGACAGAACTTTTCCACTGACTGTGGGACGCTGCAAACAGTGGTAAACGCAGACTGCTTGCCGAGTGCCCAAAATGTGGACACGTGGTTGTAGGGGGACATATTACAACTTGTTGTGATGGAAACTAATCAAGGAGAGAACCAACCTAGAACTAAGGAGAAATTTCCCAACAGTGAGAACAATAAACCCGTGGAATAGCTTGCCTTCAGAAATTGTGGTGGGGCTCCATCACTGGAGGTTTTTAAGAAGAGACTGGACAATCTTTTGTCTGGAAAGCTTGTGCAGGGGGTTGGACTAGAAGACCTCCAAAGTCCCTTCCAACTCTGTTATTCTGATTAAATCTTGGGAACTCCCAAGCTTTACTGAATATTTATGCAACTCTGAGCATGTAAAATAAACATCTGTCTTTTAATCAAATTAATTACGCAGGATAGGCATTGACTGAAACAGAAAGCTATCATTGCTTTGGCTACCCAGACATGGTGCTATTACCTTGCTTAGCCAATATATTCTTTATAGCACACAGTTAAAGAAATACCACTAATAACAATTTTGGATAGCTTGCATTGGTCACCTGTGGTGAGTAAGAAACACCTCTAAGTGACCAAGCAAGTTGGTTCTTTCCATGGATGGTTTTTTTTCTTTTAGGAAGGAACTCAAAACTTGTGGGGAAGGGGGCACCCGAAGAGGCTAATAACTTTTTTTGTACAAGTAATGGCAAGACTGAGGGATTATTCAGCAAACCTCTTGCGTGAGTGCACTTTATTAGATGAGGTAGAGCAACCCACAACACTGGAAGACTTGAATTTCCGGTAGCCTCCAAATTTGGCCGTTTCTTCCTTGAGGTTGATCTTGGGTTCGATGAACTGGGACAGGGCATTACGACATTTCTCCACCACGTGCTCCATCTGGAGGTAGCTGGCAGCGGTCAGATAGTTCACAATGTCCCTGACGGCAAACTCGAGTGCTCCAGTGTAGCAAGAGAGAAGCAGGTCGGCTACAATCTTGGCGCTGTGCATGAGGGAAACTTGGAGCTCGGAAGAAGGGTTGAGCAGGAACTGATCTCTCAGGAACGGGGAACAGGCCGCCAGGATGACTTTGTGGCCGCGGAACTTGAGGCTGTCCGCCACGATAGTGACGTCACAAAAACGCTCCTCAAAGCGTAGCTGGTTCATGTTGCGCAAGGTGGCTGCCTCGTGGCCAGGCAGCTGAAAGCGAAGGAGCTCCACGCCAGATGCCATTTTGGCTCTTGCGAGGTGGAAAAGAGTGCCAACTTCCACAGGGGGAGGAAGAACAGAAGAGGCTGAGGGTTCAGGGTCAAAGAAAACAGACACTGGGGGAAAAAAAGGAGATGAAGATGACACAGGGTTTAAGACTTTAAATAATATCACTTTAGACAAAGTGCTACCCCCCCCTCATACCACCAAGGCTTCACACAAGGTACAAAATCTGATTTATCCAGTTTGAGATTAGTAAGTTTTATGAACCAAGCAGGCAAATCCTACCCAACTAATCACCCTCTAATTGAAATGATGGAAACTAAATGAAGAACAAAATGCATAATGTTGGCCGAGTTTACACAGTGTTATGTCAGAGGATGGTTTGTTTGGCTTTAGCTAGGTATATTGTTTTGAAACCAGCCTTTGTGGCTTATAACCTAAGGTTTCATAGCTTGGCATGAGATATATACCCATCCTAAACCTTTTACTCCTTTTTTAAAGGGCAGATAATAAGCATCTGTACCCTAAATTGTGATTGAAATTGAAACATATCTCCGATGTAAGTTTGCTTGTTTCACACCATTTACTAAGCTATACATTACAGTTTTACAAACTATTACAGAAATGTTCTAAATTTCTAAATCTACAGTTGACCTATCTGTATTGCAAAACTCCAAACCACCACTACGACAGCTGCAAAAAACCCTGGCAAATAAAATTGGTCCCTGCTGCCATCTGCTCTGTTGGGTGGTGCTCTGCAGTCCAAATACCAGCAACTCTAGTTTAGTATGATGTATGAACTCAGCATTTCCTTAAGCTTCAATGATATCTCAATCTTCAGACTGCTTTATCAATCAGGTAATGCAGGAATATGGGAGGGAGGGGGAAAAAGCCAAACAGATTAAGCATTTTTGTTCCACAAAGCTAAGAGTTATTGTGGCCTCAAACACAGTTTCCATCCTGGTTCACACAACACATCAAGATTCGATTTTTGGCTTGGGAGGTTAATGGAATGATATTCTGCTCTTTAGCTCTTTAACTAATATTCTGCTCTTTAGCTCAGGGCTTGCAATATCATCTCTAGATCTGGGCTTCCCTTGCAAAATAATCAATGCCTACATTGCATTTTTTGATTATTGTACCATTAAGTCATTTTTCGACTTCTATGCATTTTCTGCAGGATGAATACCGCATATACCCATACAGAAAAAAGGGAAGCACGCACGTAGGCCCGTTTGCTCAGCTCGTTTCCCAAAGTGTTGTCTACGTCCTGCTCATCTTTCACCTAATAAGATGGCTGTATTTTTAAAGAGTCCACGTTTCAGGCATCGGCCAGCGGACACGGCTTTCCAACACACGAGCATCTTAACGCGTGCATAAACTCCAGTTCGAACTATTCCGCTGCACAGAAGTTGCAAGCGGCGAGAGCGCTTGCAAGAAAAAAAAAAGTGTGATTTAACTTAACTTTACGTGCGATGGCTGGGGAGGTGTGGCATTAATTCCACCACAGGGAGTGCCGTGGGAAAGGGCACACACGTGGAAGTCTGCCGCTTTACTCCTCGGCTTTCCCAACCCGGTGACCTCCCAACGCGCCGGATCGAGATCGGAAGCGTTTCCTCGACTGCAAAAGCGCCGCTTTCTAGAGATTGAAAAAGGCGGGAATCTGCCCTCCTTTCTTGCAGCACAAAGCCTAACCTGAAACCTTTCCTTTTCGCGCGGGCGGGCGGCCGGCGGGCGAGGAGAGCTTGCGCGTCCTTTCCCCGCGGTTTGCACGTTTCCAACGCCGGGATCTCTCGCATGCAGTTGCGCACCAAACCACCCGCTTTGCGACTGCTCCCCGCCTCTCTCTCCCTTTTTTTCCCTTTTGCACGCTCCTTTCTTCCTTGCAAAGAAACCAGTTTCGCTTCCTTGCAAAGAACCAGAGATCTCTCCCCCCCCCTTCCCGGGTACCGACCCCCGCCCCCCTTCCCCAACCTCTCCTTCCCCCCCCTCACCTGGATCGCGGTTCCCCCTCTCTTGGAGGAGAGGGGACGGCCCCAAATCGCCGAAAAAGAAGGCAAGCCAAGAGAAAGGAATTAAAGGGGCCTCGTTAAAGGGCCAGAAACGAGGGACTAATATTTGTCAGCCAGATAGAAAAAGAGAGAAGAGAGGGGGAGGGAAAAAAACCCCTCCGAAAAGGGTCAATGAAAAGAAGGAGGGAAGAAGCAGAAAGAACTTCACTGCATTGTGGGAGAATCCACCCGTGGATCCTTTAAATGCCCACCCTCTTCCCCTTTAAGGCCGCTGACGTCGTAAACCCGCGCCACGGAGGGAACGGGGAGGGGTGCCATTCTTCGGGCTCCTCCAAATCACCTTGGCAACCGATCCCTCCCTCCTTGGAAACCGCTTTTGTAGAGATGGCGGCGTCCCTCCCCCCCCTTCCTCCCTCCCGCCCGCTTTTAAAGAAAAAGTATAAGGTTTCCAAAGCGGAAAATGAGCCGGAAAGAATCGGGAGTTTTCCGGGCCAGTGTTTCTCAACCTTGACAATTTTAAGGCATGTGGACTTCAACTCCCAGAATTCCACAGCCAGCATTGCTGGCTGTGGAATTCTGGGAGTTGAAGTCCACATGCCTTAAAAGTGTCAAGGTTGAGAAACACTGGTCTATTCCGTCTTTGGAAAGCCAGTCCTTCTTTGGGATGACAGCGTGCACGCGTAGCCTCTGAAATCAGCCCGAAAAGCTCTCCACCCTTCCAGTTCCAGTGCTTGTCGGGCTGCAAGAAATTTCCTTTTTCTCATCTGAACAACCAGCTTCCCATTGATAGATATTTAACTGCTTAACAGTCATTAGGTTTTCAAAAGTCCTGCAACTACCCAAACCGCCGTTTTAAAAACATCCCCTGCTTTGAATTTGCTTGCAAAGCGGTTCAGGTAGTCCTTGACTTACGACCACATATTGAACCCAAATGTTCTGTCACTAAGCAAGACACTTCTGAAGTAAATTTTGCCCCGTTTTATGATCTTTCTTGCCACAGTTGTTTAGTGAAGCACTGCAGTTGTTAAACTTAGCAACACCATTGTGGGAAGTCAGAGCCCCCCCCCCCCACCCAGAGAAGGAAATATTAAAAGGGGCAGAAAAAATATATTTTTCCTTAAAGGGATTTTTTTTTTTTAAAGCAGAAACCAAATCTCTGGCCTCAAAGCTCTGCCCCAAGCAAGAGCCAGCCCTATACAAATGCAGATGTAAAAACCATCAGAAAGTTTGTCAAGACAAAGAAAATCTGCATACCCCACCCAAACTCTAGGAGTCATTAGCCCCATCATCAGGAAAGCAGGATATGATAATAGGATAAAACCACACATATCAAGGCCTGGAAAAACACTCAGAAATAGCCTCAAAGTTCATGCCACAGGAACAGGAAACTATTCCAAACAAAAGGCTAGAGAGGGTATAAAAAGCTACTGCCCATGTGCTCACCCCTCTCTCTCCTCTGCTCTTTCCTGCAAGAATCATCTTTCTGCCTCTTCAATAAACTGTAACCTTCTTCCCAAAGCAATCACCATGTTGCTTATTTATCCTCGGCTTGGATGAACCAGGATGAAGACTTTACTTCTGACACCATTGTTAAGTGAATCTGGCTTCCCAGTTGACTTTGCTTGGCAGAAGGTTGCAAAAGCTGATCATATGATCATGGACAATGCAACTGAAATATGAATCACTTGCTCAGGCATCCAATTTTTGATCATGTGACCATGGGGATGCTGCAACAGTTGTGCGGAAAAAGGATCATAAGTCCCTTTTTTTCAGTACCGTTATAACTTTGAATGATCACTAGATGAACTGTTGTAAGTCGAGGGCTACATGTATTTTACTTCTTTATTATTCCTTTTATTTACTTCCCAGGCATTTGGAAGTTTCCAGCTAAGCAATGGCCGTTATTAGTGGTAGAAGTCATCAGAATGCAACACATTTCGTTTTTCTTCTTCAGTGCCTTTGCTAAAACAACCAGCTTCCTGTAGTGGATTTCCAATTGTTAACACATTCCTCAAATTAGCATCCCAGGCACTTGGAAATTGAATAGTGGCTGGGAAGTTCCCACTTGTTCCACAAATCTACTTACTTTCTGGAATACGGAAGCAATTATGAGGTGGGCATGTTTGCAATATCTTCCTAATCACAGATCAAACTTACTAAGGAGCTCCAGAAGATCAAGTGGTAGAAAAAAAAATGGTTTAAGTGTAGCATAGAGCAGGGGTGTCAAACTGCCAGCCCCTGGGCCGGTTGCATCATGCAGAGGCCGCGCCCACCTCAGCTCCGGCAATGCAAAAAAAGTTGCGATACGTCGCGACACATCATGTGACGTGGCGAGCTTGACACCCGTGGCATAGAGGATATAGATGTCACAATATTTTTTTTTTACTTTTTTTTTTATATTATTGTAATGACGGTTATTTCCAGTGACTAAAAAAATCATAATTGTGTTTTTTTTAACTTGATACGCAGAGGATGGGTATATTGTGTCCATGAAGTTGGTAATGAAAGAATGGCATAAGCAAATAAACCCAATAAATAATTAAAAAGCTGTTTTTGGTAGAAAATGAATATAATTGAACACATGTATGAGTCCTTACTTGGGTTCATGACATACAGACAACAACATTTCAGTACTGCACTGTCCTCGTTGCATCAATGAAATGCCATCTATAAGCCTTGTTTTAACTTGTGCTCTACTAGGGTAGTGTTGGCAAGACAAGAAGCAATGGATGGAAACTAATCAAGGAGAGAAGCAACTTGGAATTAAGAAGAAGCTTCCTAACAGTCAGGACAATTGACCAGTGGAACTGCGTGCCTTGAGACATTGTGGGTACTTCATCACTGGAGTTTTTTAAAGAAGAGACTAGACCAGTGGTGGCGAACCTATGGCACAGGTGCCAAAGGCGGTACTTGGAGCCCTCTCTGTGGGCACACGCGTCTCCCCAGCTCTGCCTCCTCCCACGCCCCCTCCTAACCAGCAGCCCTCCCAGAGGAGAGTCACCCCAGGGC